TCTATGGATGGCACTGCCCTCCCCAACTAACACCCCAGAACAAGGCGCCGAAACTGATAAGATATCGGAAAACCCGTATTGTTGCAGAGATCCAAAGGTGGTCTTTGCTTTGAATGATCACCTCGCGGGAAGACAGGGCGCGGCACCCGATGGTCCGACAGGATTTGCAAGCCCGCTGCCCCCGCCGAGCATATATTAATTCGCCCTCAATCTATTCTGCGCGGGACAGGGGTTGCCAACACCCGGGCCACTCTCCCTCCACGTCATGCATGCCGACCAACCGGCAGGCAAAGGTGTGAGTGAGTGAGAACGAAAAAGAAAGAAGGAGTTTCGGCCTCGAGGTGATCCTACTGCACCATGCCGCAGAATTGTTCTCCCAAGCCCTTCCTCTTCTCTTGACAATTTCGGATGAATGCTCGCTCAGTAAGCCCTCCCTTTTATCGTTACGAGTCTTCGTCTCCGTAATGTGGGCGGCCAACAAAATATCACACTCACATACACAACTCAGCAGTGTCGTCGTGACAGGCTTAAGCTTTCGTCTCAAAAGAAAAATAAAAAAAGGGATGATGGGTTCTTTACGAACCTAAACACGTCGGGAGCAAAACGAAACAGCCGGATCGTGGTCATAACATGGAGAATCCCTCTCTTCTATCGAGCGTGTCTCCGCCATCCTCAAGGCTCGACCCCTTGGTACATGACTGAATCGCTAGTGAAATACCGTTCGCAGTCCTTGCGCATCTTTGCGCCAGGAGTGACTGTGCCTTGATCACATGGTGACCTCTCTGTTCTTTTCCCAGAGCCAACCAAACAAGGAGAATTGTGCGAGAAAAGGATTTCGGGGACTTTGTGTAAGACCGGCTTCAACCTTGCTGTCTTCTTACCAGCCAAATCTGGCAACTGGCTGGGATACCGCGGACAGCTGAGAGGGGGCCTATAATCCTTGCGATGAAGAATCTTGCGTATGCAAATCTCCCATACGAAATACATGCACGCCTGAGCTAGCGTTGGACTGTTGGTTGTTGGTTATGTTCTTGTGCGGCCGTGTGGACCTAAAGATGAGTAGCAAAACGGACCAAGTGGAACCTTTCGTGGAGTACGAAGAAGGAAAAGAAGCAATGAAAAAGACGAGAAGCTCAAGAGTGTTGCAGAAATCTTGTTGGAATGTAACAACTTGACTCGCTCAATAGACGTTGCCTTACCTAAAACTTTACTCTCAGCTCAGACGGTTCATCCAATTCCAGAGTTTTGAAAGTCAACACAACGAGGCTTGAACTGACATTGCTAAACATACCTGCCTGAACAATCTCATGTGACGAGTACTCATTCCGAGCGGATTTCCCAAGCTAGACTCTTGCTCCGTTAACCGTTGATGCGCACTGGCATGCCGTAGGACGGCGAACCTACCGACCGGCCGGCCACCTTGCGCCGGCTTGCAGCAACTTGCAAGACCAAGGGCCGAGTTGGCAACTGTACATGCAAGGGCCGGGGCCATAATCCCTGAGGGTGAAAGAGTTGCGGGGGGCCACCATCTCGGCCAAGGTTGCCAAGATCCAGGCTCCGATGTGCAACGTCCAGCCACTCAACGGACGCGCAGTCCGCACCGGACCCTTGCCGGTGCCGACTCCAAGTGGAGATGAAGCTGCAGGTCTGTTGGACCGGCCAGGTCCTCTTTTCTCTCTCCTGTGACTACTGAGTACTCTATGGGTATGTGAGTGACTTTTTGTGTTGTGCTAACTCCAAAGTCCATGAGACTCTTTGGCAACGGCTCCGAGCATGGCAACCTCGCCTCCAGGATTGCCCCTAACCCATCATCTCCCACGAGGAGGTCAGCATTGTTCATCTCCCTCGGACGGGGTCTCGTCTCTGGTAGGATTCACTTCAATGCCTGCTATCAACGAGCACATTTGACCAATTCTGGAACCCTGGGCGAAGGATGCTTGCCACGCATCCGCCGCTATCAGTTGCTCCGGAGAGAAGTCTCGGCCGTCAATATTGGGCTCTTCCTCGTTCTTGTCCCTTTGCCGCCTTCACGCCCCCTCTTTTATGGCCTCCTGAGAAAGGTATGGGTTCTATCCGTACGGATAATGTAGAATAGCCCTTGCAAACATTGCCTCTCGGCCGTGGACCGTGGATGCTTTGACCTACATCAATACGCAATAAGGTAATGCCTCCCAGACGTACAGCAACACTATTGCCATCGAGCCCACTCCTGCCCGCTATTATACCTCGTCGACCATCGTTCGATTCCCTTCTAGGTGGCATAGCACATGTTGGTTCTCGTCCTTTGCAAACGGGTATCCCACCGCTTCGGCCTCTCTACCGTCTGTTCCCATTATCCAACGGTCCAACGTTCCATTTGCTCATCTCGGTCTCCACGCGTTCACCCCGCTGTTGTCGTTGGAAGAACCGCGAATTAGATCTGCGAGGTCTTATATTTGAAGCACTTCGTCCCATCTCTGTTGATTGTCTCTTACTGCTCCCCATCCGTCCATCGGCAGCACTCGTGTCTGACCCCACGTGGTAACCATGTCTTCGATGCGTTCCCTCTTGACGGCGGCTCTGCTGTCTGTCAGCCACTTGGCTGCGGCCCAGACTATCGTCGTCGACGGTCAAGAAGTTGGTGAGTATTCTACCGTCTATTCAAACCTTCAAAGACTGAGGTAACTGACTTATACGCTCTAGCCGCCGACGCCTCGACTGTTGCCCCGGCCGCTGAGGTTGCTGACGTCTCCATCGCCAGCACCTCTGCCGGCCTTTCTGAAGGGGAAAAGCTTCAGCTCACCGATGCCGTCCTTGCCAACCTCACAGCGCTCCAGCTGTCCAACATCTCCCTGTTTGGCTTCGAGGATGGATCTTCGGTCAAAAAGAGATCGCTCTTTGGCCGTTGCAAGACCTATCCCGGAGACCTCCTGTACCCGATCGGCCTTGTCTGGGACATCTTCAACCTCCTTCTGGGAGGTGCTCTCACCAAAACCATCCCCGAGGCCTCTGTCTGCTACGATGATTTCGGCAACTACGATCAGGCAAAGTGCGACTTCTTGACCGCCAACTGGGTCAACGGATCATACTACCACACCGAGGACCCCACGGCCATTAACGCCGTCCTCTTTGAGGGCCTCAACTGCATGCCCCCTACCATCAATGTCGGCGAGACCAACTGCAAGGTCGGCGGCCTGCCTTCCTACGTTGTCGAGGCCACCACCGTTGCCCACGTCCAGCTGGCCGTCAACTTTGCACGCAACCTCAACCTCCGCCTCGTCGTCAAGAACACTGGCCATGACTTTGGCGCAAAGTCTACCGGCTACGGTGCCCTATCCATCTGGACTCACAAGTTCAAGAACATTGACTTTTACGAGAACTACCAGCAGGACTCGTACAGCGGCCCTGCTTTCAAGCTCGGCGCCGGCGTCCAGGCGTACGAGATCTACGAGGCTGCCAACAAGTACGGTGTCACCGCTGTCGGCGGAGAGGGACAGACCGTGGGTGTCATGGGCGGTTACGTCCAGGGCGGCGGGCACAGCCCCATGTCCGGTCTGTACGGCATGGCGGCGGACAATGTCCTCTCCTTCGAAGTCGTCACTGCCGACGGCCGCTTCGTGACAGCCAGCGAGTCCCAGAACTCTGACCTATTCTGGGCCATCCGCGGTGGTGGCGGCTCCACGTACGGCGTTGTCACCTCTGCCGTCGTCAAGGCACAGCCCAAGATGAACATCACTACCATGACCTTTGCCTTCTCCAGCGGTGACAACTTGACCACCGACCAGTTCTGGACCGCGCTGCGCTTCTACTTTGACGGCTTTGTCGAGTACGCTGTCGACAACGCCAACTACGGATACTTCCGTATCCAGAACCTCGGCACCTCCTTCGCCTTCGACATGGGCCCTTGGTGGGCACCCAACATGACAAAGACCGAGCTCGCTGCTCTCGCGGCTCCCCTCTTTGCCAAGTGGGCCGCGATAGGCCTCGTAGTCGAGCCCGTTTACACCGAGTACGACAACTTCTACTCGGCCTGGCAAAACTCGTTTCCGCTGGAGCCTTGGGGATCCAACGCCATCCGCCAAGCCAGCCGTCTCTTCCCCCGAGCCAACTGGGAAGACGAGACCAAGCTCAACGCCACCTTTGAGGCCATCAAGTCCGTTTCCGAGGAGGGCGGCTACATCGTGGCCTTCAACATGATGGCGGCGCCCAAGACGGGGTACCCGGATAACGCCGTCAACCCGGCGTGGCGCGAGGCCGTCATGCACTGCATCACCGCCGCCCTCTGGGACCCGACCGCCAACGAGACCGTCATCAAGACGGCCAGCGACAAGCTCACGTTCGACTGGATGCAGCGCTGGCGCGACGTCTCCCCCGGCGCGGGCGCGTACATGTCCGAGTCGGACTACATCGAGCCCGACTTCACCCAGGCTTTTTGGGGTACAAAGTACGCAAAAGCCCTCGAGCTTAAGAAGAAGTATGACCCCAACGATGTGTTTTACGCGCAGAACGGCGTCGGTTCCGAGAGCTGGGAGATGTCGGAGATGATTATGGGCAACTTGCCTTCGCAGAACAGCAAGTTGTGCCGCAAGCAGTAGTGTATATCTATCTTAGAGTGTTGTGTAATCAAGCCGTTAGGGATGTCTTAGGCGGTGTTCGAACTTCGATGTATATATTGCCGCTGTATATAAGAGTGGGTGGCTCGATTAGCTGCTTAGACCTTAGATCGCGGATCGTGAGATGGTCTCATGACGCATTAGAATGGCGAACTTTACGTTCTTACTTACCTATTCGAACCTGACTTTTGATCTAGTCCCATAAGCATGTCTTACTCCGACGAAAGTGACTATGTTTCATTCCTCGCAATTCTCGTCGCAAGGCAGACGCAACGCGGATCGCTAGGGTTAAGTCTTGTCCGGGCTGCATTGGGTGAGAAACCTGTCTTCATTTATTGCCGGTGACTTTGCCAGTTCTGAGAGATCAAACTCTTAGTCTCAGTGTATTTATTCGTCGAGGCATTTCAGGGATGGGCCAGTCCGCGTCAACAGCCCTTCGCCGTACTTTACGGTTCTGATCGGTTGTTGGGCGCTGACAAGCTACTAACGACCAGAAACGTCCTCCCGGATAACTTCCCGGACCTTGTCAAAGACGATCTCGACTGGGGGAGTTCGCAAGAAGAGGCATTTGAGAAGGCACTTTTGAGCATTTGCACAAACCCTCGATTTCAGGCTACGGAGCTAGAGTTCGTCACCAAGAAGATAACTGATGGGCAACGTGGCTTTCGCATGGTTAAAGATTACCGCGCCACTTTCAGGGTCGAGTTATAGACGCACCAAGATCACGACGGCATCATAACCTATCATGCTTCTCTGTCTGGCAAGATCTAAAGAGTGGAGAGTCGCAATGTTATGTTGGCTTTGAAATCGACATGATCAGATTCAGCCTGATGGCCGGGAGTTGAGTGTTCTATATCGCTCTATTCTGACTAATACCGAATTTCCTATGCACATCATATTCTAAGGGCGCAATATATTTAGGTATCACTGTAGGAGTTAAGACCACCGGTTTTATTTTTAAGGGACCAGTTCACCCGATCTAACGGACTTGGTCGGCTATGCAACATGGCATTACTAGCCACCGATTTAATGTCCTACCACATACAGTGTGCTGTAATTCCGGCTTTGGTCGGTTAAATATATTAAAGGAAACATATGATGGTCAATGGTGAAGCGCTCAAGAGCCACCAGACGGTGAAGATGGAATTAGCGACACTGGGAACCGGGAAGCTGCGCATAGGTGTATGTTCAAACCTTTCTCTTTTGCGGCGATCCGGTGCCTCTCGTCTCTGCTCCGGAAATAGATTGGCCAGAGACGTGTCACTCACAACTCCTCGACTTGTCAGCGGAGATGAGTGGTTGTGATGAAAGCTAACGGGAGGCTGGCGGGAGCGAGCGACATGAAGGTACGTACTGACCACCAGACCCGCTTAATTATCACACTAGTCCAAAACGGAGCAGGCGCATAACCTGCCTTGCGAATTTCAAGGTGACATCTCTGATTTCTATCCAAACACAGCTTCACGAAGGCAGCCGATCATCATGGCCTCGATCGCAGCATCACTGGCCTCGGCCCTCCCGAAACCCAAATACACTGGAGAAGATGAGGAAGCTCCCTCACGCGCTCTGCAACGCGGCCCCCGTATCGTTGGTGCCGGCCAGCTGGACGAGACGCAAATCGTGCTGAAGCGATCGGGCCCTCCACCATACCAACAGCGAGCAGGATGGCGACCGCGAGGACCCGAAGACTTTGGCGACGGTGGCGCGTTCCCCGAGATACCGATCGCTCAATACCCGCTCGACATGGGAAAGAAGGGCGCGACGACCAGCAACGCGCTCGCCATCCAGGTCGACGGCGAGGGCAAGCTCGACTACGGGGCCATTGCGCGTCAGGGCCACGCTGAAAACCGAATCGTTCATACCTCGTTCAAGGATCTCATTCCTCTTCGCCAGCGCGCCGACGCGGGCGAAATCGACCTGAGCCGACCCAGTCAAGAGGAGGTGGAAGCGACGGCGGAAAAGACGAAGAATGCACTGGCAGCACTGGTCAGCGGTGCCGTGGCCGCCCAGAAGCCAAAGACGCTCAGTGTCGGAAAGAGAAACGATCCGACATTTGTGCGATACACGCCAGCAAATCAGATGGGCGACAACTCGACCAAGCAGGACCGCATTATGAAGATTGTAGAGCGGCAAAGGGACCCGATGGAGCCTCCTAAGTTCAAGCACAAGAAGATCCCCCGTGGACCGCCAAGCCCGCCACCTCCTGTCCTGAGATCGCCGCCACGGAAGCTGACGGCAAAGGACCAGGAGGATTGGCGCATTCCCCCGCCGGTCTCCAACTGGAAGAACCCGAAGGGTTTCACCGTCCCCTTGGACAAGAGATTAGCGGCCGATGGACGCGGACTCCAGGACGTGGCGATCAACGACAAATTTGCTCAATTTTCCGAAGCGCTGTACGTCGCAGACAGGCACGCCCGCGAGGAAGTAAGACAGCGTGCAGCCATGCAACAGCGTCTGGCAGAGAAGGAGAAGGCTCAAAAGGAGGAGAACCTCAGAATGCTGGCCCAGAAGGCTCGCGAAGAACGGGCCGGCGGGGGCAGACGGGACTCACGATCACGGTCACGGTCACGCAGCTACAGCGGCTCAGACTCGGAAGACTCAGACGGTTCGGAGGACTCTGAGATCCGGGAGAGAGAAAAGGCACGAAAGGAGCGCATGCGTGAGGAGGAGAGGAAGCTTCGGCAGTCACGTATGGGTGCCGAGAGGAGAGTGCAGGTCATGGCAAGAGAGCAAAACCGCGACATTTCGGAAAAGATTGCTCTTGGTCTTGCCAAACCTACCCAGTCCAAGGAAACCATGTATGACTCGAGACTTTTCAACCAGTCCAGCGGCTTCGACAGCGGCTTCAACGAGGACAACCACTACGACAAGCCGCTTTTCGCCGCCCAAGAGGCCATTGGCAGCATTTATAACCCGCGAGCCAACATGGACGATGAGGACGACGAGGCAGCAGGTGATAAGGAAATGGCCAAGATCCAAAAGACCAGTCGGTTCGGCGAGGCTTTGGGTAGGGGGACGTTCAAGGGCACAGAAGATGTCGAGGTTAGTACACCACTTCGAAGGAGAGCAGAGGGCAGTGCTAACAAACATCTTCCACAGGCGAGAGAGGGACCAGTGCAGTTTGAAAAGGATGCCGGGGACCCCTTCAACGTGGACAAGTTCCTGTCCGAGGTGGAGCAAAACTCTTCGTCAAAGAGGGGTTACGGTCTTCAGGACGATGATTCTCGGCAGCCGAAGCGGGCGCGAGTAGACGAGGATGATGATTAAACTAGGCCGGTTTTCTTATTGTTTCCATATAGCCAACCAAAAAAGCTTCTTGGCTTCATTGTACGACAAAGTGGGGGACGTTTTTTGGACTGGCATCGAGATGGGCGCCCTTATTCGGGGCATCGGAAACAGCCTCGCAAAATGCAAAATTGCAAGGCATAATGCAGAAATTGCAGTACATGCACAAAATCGATTTGAGCCCAAGAGACGTGGTGAAGAAACATTGGATGATTGCGTAGACTTCGTGGGCCCTCTATTGTGTGTTTTAGGGCGGAAATTCTCTTGACTTTTTGGCTTGAAGCCGACTGGATGAGTTGGTGTAGCGACGCTGGTTGTTTCAGGGACGGCGAATTCATGCGGACTTTTATCTTCGGACTGGTTGCGGCAAACTCATGCTTCTCTCTTCCAAGACAAGGCCGAGAACCGGACGAAAGACGGACGGAACCATTTGTTCTGGTACCTCTGGAGCAAACGACTGGACTGGCTACTTGCTGGGTTGACAGGCAGGCCTTGAAGTCGGTAAAACTTGTCAGAGTTGGGTGTCGGCGGGAGTGACAGTCACGACCGGCGAGGGGCACGTCGTGGGGTGTCATTGGTGGTTTGCAAATGTGGCCCGGGAGTTGAACCAAGATCCAAGACATCAGGCGAGCCAGGGGGGAAAACAAATAGTTGAGACGAAGATCAGGCAGTGTTGTGGGAAACGTGGGTGGTGGCTGGAGCATTGGACGTTCCGGGCCTATAATTAAAGTCTGTATTGTCCTTGGTAAGCTTGGTATGTAAGGTGGTAGACCAGAAGCTTTGGTTGACAGGTTTTCTTGTTGAAACAGTTGCGTTTTCTTGCTCTCGTGGTTTAAGCTCCGAGTCGGAGACGTTTGCCAATGCCTTGGCTGTGAGCCAACCGGCTTTTAGGAATGTGACTGTTCATGCGTTCTTGAGAGGATAAGAGTTCACCGTTGAGAAGGGTTGCTGGGCAATCACGGAGTGTAGCAAAAGGTGGGTTACCGTGAAGTATGAAGTGAGGAGAGTTGGTGTTTTGTTTGAAGCATCGTGAGACGAGAGACAGCGGAGAAAGCCATGGCGGAGGATGGAATGAGAGAAAGAGGCAAGAGCTGTTGTAAGCTTAAATCTACGCCAACCGCCAGCGGGAAGGCTACCAGAGTTTGACCTTACATGCTATAGGTATTTAGGCTTCATGTTCGCATCACGCATGTTGGGCTTTCCGGGCCATATGCGACCCAGTTCAAATGTTCACTCAAACACCTCCAACTGCTCCCCGATGGACAGGTACGCGGATGTCAAATATGCTGATCAGTTCTCCCGATCTCGTTCCACGAGTTGGGCTGGGGCCCATTGCAGGAGCGGCAAGCCGAACCTGATCCGAATTCGAGCTGGCGGATCCCCAGGCGCAGATCAATCACGAAATGGTTCGCCGCACATCAGCAGTCGATCTTTCAATGCGGCTCCCAGTCATGTCAGGTCCGCGGACTGGCTGTGAGACATTGCAAACCTGGCAGCCGTTCCGTCTATTCTTGCTCATTCCCTCGTTACATTTCATTTCTAGTTCCCGACGCTAGATATCTTTCTGATAGTCGCTCTCGTTCAAATTCTGTGAAGGAAACCCTCTGAGATCAAAGCGTCGGCATGAGACGAGGGCTGATAATCAAGCTTGATTCCCATCACCCGTAAACCAGGGTCTTGCGAAAGTAGTTCCATGATTCAGAGAAAGACAAACGACATCGGATCAATGATCGGGGAGCAAGCAGAGAGAGAAGACAAGACCGCACACTTGACATAGTTATTCGGGCCTTTTGGCTGAGAAAAGGCAATGCATACGACAAGCTGCGCGGGTCCCATTTCATTGACTTCCAGACTCAGAGTTTAGGGCTTCACGGACGGTCCAACTTGGCTCCTGTCGCCAAGCCCTTTAGTGCTTGGGGGTTCGGCCTCTAAGCCGTGCCCTGCTCACCCCTGACTCCAGAAGCCAAGCTTGTCTCTTCCAACTTCCATACTTCCTCCGGATGGTTTTCCTTGTCCTTCCTACCTAGTTCCAGTCACTGCCAGTCCAATGCATGTCACATCAGACACCGTCGATGTGCATCCGCTATGAGGCGTTATGAAGCGTCGATCCTGCCGGCTGCTTCATCCGACATCGACTTCAACCCCGTCTCTCTTACATTCCTACCATCTCGTGCGGCGGCGACAACAATAGCAAAGACTTCGGATTCATTTTGCCTCTTTGACACCGTCGTCTGTTATCATCGCCCGCGCAGCAAAGATAATAATGAGATGCTGTCTGGGAGCCGAGGCAGGTCACTGACAGTTGGGAACGCACTCGCACTCGCTCGCTCTTCATCTCGAGGCTGCAACAAAACCTGGCATCCGGTCCTCCTTTCGGGCTGAGGGGCAAGCCCTGCCTCGCACATTGACGCTGGGTAATGCCCAAT